TCACTCTGATTATTCTCATAAGAAAAGAACTCCCAAATTTATTGGTGAGGGTATCAGACTCAACACAGAGGCCTACATCAAGTGCCTTGAGGAGAACCCAGTCATGGTTGTCAGACAATCTCTGCAACCATGTCACCCTTTACACATGGCCACCTAACTCCCCAGACTACAACCCCCTTGATTACTATGTGTGGGGCACAGTTGAGCAAGAAACCAACAAAATTGCTTGTAACACCAAAGATGAACTGAAGACAAGGATTATGGCAGCATTCAACAACTTAGACACGGAGACCATCCAGAAGAGTTGCTAGAGATTCAAAAGTTTGCTGTTGTTGAAGCCAATGGCGATTTTATTGAATAAAATTACTCCTTAGTATTTCAAGATATTTTTGTGTAATTTTGGTAAATATATCTGTTTAAATGAGATATCAGTGTTATTTTCATCTTTGAGTAATTTAAACATTTTATCCATCACACCTTGTATACATACTCACCCTGTTATCAGCATTTATATAAATATAGTATGCACACAGGTGTATAAAGGATGTATACTATATATATATATATATATATATATATATATATATATATTAGGTTAATAAAAATAATGTCGTTTTTTGACGTTAAGGTGAATGTCAAAAAACGACATTATTTTTGCACCAACCTTATATATATATATATATATATATATATATAAATGCACTTTCTTTGTTACTAAGTGCTATATAAAAATAATCAATCATCTTCCAAATAAAGATTTTCATTAAGTTTAGAAAAACAAACCTTTAATCATCATGTTTAAATGACAGTTTAAGAATGTTCGGAAAGGAATTAATTTACATGTATTTGGTTTTCATTCAAAAACAATAACCACACAATAAGTGATATGTAAATTGCTGTAAGACGAAAACAAATAAAAACAATAATGCATATAAAAAAAGCAACTTAAAAAGACCAAATAAAAATGAAGACTGAAAAAGAAAACCAATGAGGAAAAAAAAAAAAAAAAAAAGAAGGGAAAAAGACAAAGGAAAAAGAAATTAAATTTGAATATCTTGAATGAAATATCATCATTATTTGATAAATTATTCAAATGAGTATCCTGATCTTTGTATGGTCACTGTTTTAATCAACAAGCACTCCAAACTTATTGATATTTTCTAATTTTTTCAGTTGATGAAATTTTGTCACTATCTGATGATTTACTCAAACAAGTTTTCTTAACCACTTTTATTTTGGTCAGTATCATTCGGCCAGCATATTTGCCTTTCGTTTATTATTCAATAGAGTTTGTAGTCATTGTTGTTATTGAATCCCAACATTACATGAGACCAATTACTAACTCTCTTTAGGTAATTATTTCTCTTCCTCTTTTTCAATCAAAGTGCCAAATTTGATTCTTTCTGATTTTGATCACCAACAAAAAGGATTAAAATTATGAAATTGATAGTTACTTGATGCAACAGACACCCGAGGAAGGCCACAAAAGTAACAAAGTGAAAAGTAGTAATCGAAACAATGTTTACTAATCTGAATGTTTAATGGAATAATTACAAAACTCAGACGGCAATTAGATTAAAAATGTTAGTACAACGTCTTTCTGGACAATTTTATTTTTTAACCTCAGTACAATTCTGTCATATGCAAGTGATTTTAAGTTCAAGATTTTATACTAAAACAGGATAAGCAATAAATAATGAACAAATACTCTAATAGTTGTTGCATCATGAGATGTAGGTCTGCATTGGTATGCACAACAGCAGAAGATTTAATGACAATTGGCAGCTAAAAAATATGTTTATATGTATGCAAGATAGAAAATCAACCCGCGTGATCTAAGTTACCAAAAAGAAACAGGAGTGCCTCCGGTTAAAAACTGAGATTGTATTTATTTGAAATATTTAATTGTTTAGATGAACTCTTTGCTATAGTACCTAGACTTTATGACTTTAAGCACAATACTAGATTGGTCATAGTTGAATTGCTTAGATGTAATTATAAGTTCTTTGCTAACAGTTTCTTTTCTCACTTGTGGAACTTCCTCCAGCTGGATGCTCTCCAGCTAACTTTGATCTTCAAAAATTTAAATGCAATTTCAAGTGTTACCTGCTTTCTTCTTTATTACTCTTCTATTGTTTTCACACCTTAATAATGTTTCTCTCTTTTCTTATTCTTTCACACTCAGTAACCCATTGTGTCTTAGTGACTTTACTGCCTTTCATAGGGTGAAATGGATGTGCATTTTGGTGCAATGGATATCAGCTTGGAGTGAGAACTCTGAGAGCCAAGTTTGAATTTAAGTTGAGTTCATTAGATTTACTTATGCACAAATACCCAGTCTGTTCTGCTATTCAACCCATAGCTGGGGGGATAAGAGATGAATTCATATCTTTCCCAAGGGTATTTGTGCATAAGTAAATCTAATGAACTCAACTGGAACTCAAATTCAACCTTGGTTGGCAAGCAGTCTACCACAAAAAGAAATAGCAATCCACAGCAGGAAAAAATCTTCTGTCTCGTCAGTCATGTATCGTAATATATATGGTCGCACAAACATGTATCATGTAGTGATTTTCCAAGCATATATGGCACAGGGCCGAGAATATAGGGCACTCAGTGAGGATTGAACTCACTGCTTAGTCGTAATTGTTCTAACAAGACAAGTTTGCTAATCACTACACCACCTCAAGGTGCTGAAAGCATGTGTCATGTATAGCAATTAGCTGATTGACTGATGGAGTGAAATGATTAAAAAATTTAATCTTGATGGAAGATGTGTGTAAATTACAATGTGCAGAATTCAAATTTTATCAGTTTGATATCAGTGTTTGCCATTTTCAATATCTAGCTGCTGTCTTAGCTACACCACCCATTTTGCATGTATTTATGTGCAGATGCATGACCGAATAGTTAGAGTATTCGCTTTCTGACCATGAGATCCTTGTTCAAATCTCATTGTGGTCAATTTGTCAAGGAGACTTTCTTATGTTATCAGCCTGGGGAGATGATCCCAGTGTGTGAAAACCAAACCATGGGTGTACGCAATAGACTTGTAAGCAAAATTGGGTAGACAGAACTGATCAGAGGCTGTTGATGAGTGTGCTAGCAATTCATTGAGACCAAGGCTTTGAGAATACTGGCCTTGTTCAAACTTTTGATCACACCAAATTATGAATTCTTTTCCAGAAACTGTAACTAAGGGTATTGAACTGACGCAAATGTGCCTGAGCATGCATCTGCAAGAGAGATTGGCTAGCTGCCTTCGTAGATGGATGTGGTCAGAAATGAGTAGCTGGCCATTATATATATATATATATATATATATATATATATATAGCATGTTTTCATTAAATAATTTAAACAAGTTTTGTATACTTAATAGGATCCTCTCATATTTTCAGGACAAGTTTCTTTGTATCCTTATTAAAGGAAGAAAGAAAATTAGCATGTTGATGTATATCCATTTTATTCCCAAGTACTTTTGACATTAGCACAATGTCATCTTCATGGTCTTGTTTTTGCTAAGACAAAATTACTGTGTTCATCTGAAAATTAAATTTTTTACTTGTGAAGTGAAAAAAGCTAAACTTATGTACTGAACAATTTTTAAATTTTATGATGTAAACATACACCTCAAAGGAGATAACTAAGTTATTGAGATGTCTATTTAAAAAAAAATATTTAAAGTTATAACTTAGATATCTTAAACTACTGTAAACATTTTAAAACATTTGTGCAGTATTCATAATTAACTTTATTAAGGGTTGGTTTCAATTTTATTTTTTTTTTAGAACTTCTTCCTCTTACTACTTAACTTTCACACATAACTGTCAAGCACTAACAAGAACTCACACACACACACACACACACACACATACATACATACACATTTACTGTTTCCAAAAATTGTAATCTTTGTGAAAATACATTTTTGTTATTTTAAACAATGAAATGTTTGCTTATTTGTTCATCATTTTTTGGTTGCCACTGCTTTTAGTTGGCCTAGAAGTTGTGACTGATTCTATCAATAAATCCATTATAAGTCTAAAAAAGTTCTTTCTTGGAATGAAACATGTCACAAAAGTTTTTTCTATTTTGAAATTCACTTAACCATTATTTGTTTGAGATATATATATATATATATATATATATATATATATATATATACACAAACACATTGTTAGTTCAGCCAATCCAAGGACCACTCAGAGTAGAGGGTTACTGAGTGAGACTGTTGGAAGAAATGGGGAAGGGATTAAGAAGTGCACATTATGAGGACCTGTAAGATAGATATTGGCTGACTATGGACTTGAAGAAACTAATATTATAGTTGTCAAGGAAGCGTCCTCCTGGGAGTTAGTTTCTTCATCAAATCTGTTACTTTGATAATGAATAAGTTCCACTTGATTCCACAAAGGGACATGAAGGGAATTGGGATGAATTTCCAGCATGGTATGGTATATCCTAAAAATTGGTGGAACTAAAGAATGTAACTCATATGAATATCTGCGATCATAACTGTGATAGAGTAGTGAGAGGCTAGCAATGTTTCATATGTGGAATAAGGGTTTCAGGGCAGAGAACAGTTCATCACCCACTAGGCCATATAATCGCTTTTGAAATCTGTCAAGGCTGGAGAGATATGGTTTCAATACTCCATTCTTGGTCTGATCTAGGCACTGACATAAAAAGATAAGTATACGAAATAATAATAAGGATTCATGGAAAACTGATAATATTTCATGTTAGAATTTCAATCAATACTGGGAAGGTTAAAAAGCAAAATGGCTGAAACAAAGACCAAAACAAGAAAAATGAAGATGTTGTCTGAATAAGTTGTGGAGAAATGATATTTAATCTCAGAATTTTAGATAATACTATTAAGACTAAATAGTACATTAATCAAAATAGGATAATCAAAATAACAAGGATAAGGAGACTCAACAAAATTTGTAATGAAATAATCAAGCAAATTTAGTAAAAAAAAGAGAAAGACATACTTGATGAAGGAAGGAAAATCCTCACTAGGTGTATCACAGCCAGGCCATTTACAGAGACCATGTCGATAAAGTGGGTGGGTCAGATTAGAATTTTCCTGTTCCTGTTTGATACTGAGGCTTGGTTGAGGAAGTAACCCACCACCAAGTCCACCTAAAGAGATAAAAAAAAAAAAAACATGGATAAGTTGAATGATTCCTTTAAAAAAAAAAAAAAAAAACATGGATAAGTTGAATGATTCCTTAAAAAAAAAAAAAACATGGATAAGTTGAATGATTCCTTTAAAAAAAATAAAACATGGATAAGTTGAATGATTCCTTTAAAAAAAATAAAACATGGATAAGTTGAATGATTCCTTTAAAAAAAACAAAAAAAAAAAAAACATGAAATCAAATAATGTCATCGTGTATTTTGAATAAGAATAAATTCTTTCAAGGATGACAAAAAAAAGTTTCCATTTAATGCAACTCCTTAAAAATAAAATTATGTCGAATTTGAAAAAAAAAATTAAAAGGTGGCCCATTAACATAACTGACCCAAGACAACAGAACATATCTATGACAAAATGATGGACATGATACAGAAATTCTGTCCCATAAATGTAGAACTGTAATTCCTTCATAAAAAAAATAAAAAAAAGAATCATAATACTTTGGCTTTTGGATCAGAATTTGCTTTGTATATTTAATATATACATACACACACAAATGTGTGTTTCTGCGATTATGATAGCTTGGTACTATGCTCTAGACCCTGACACATCATCTGCAAGAGATACAGAAAAGCACTCAGGTCAATAAAATTTTGAAGTAGAATGCAGTTTGTGTGTGCATATATATATATATATATATATATATATATATATATATCAGTGCATATATACATACATGCACACACAGAGTGTGGAACAGAAATACCTCTTACTATCATGTGGGAGGTATTTCTGCTGTACCCTGTATAATAATACAACTAAAAATATGAGAAAATTACAGGAATTCATCTAACATCTGGCCCCAATGATAGTTTTGCACTCAATCAGATAAGTTGAACTTTCTTGATTTAGCGAATATATATAAGAAAATAGTTTTGGACTTATGTAATTTTTAATCTATAAGGCAGTAAATGATGTAGAATTTTATAACAGAGGAAGAAAAGATTTGGAACAACAGATGTGAGTCTATGATAAATGTTAAGAGTTTTAGTTAGAATAGAAATTACAAAGAAATTCCTGATAAAATTCTGAAATTTTGGGGATTCATAATAAGGAAAGAGAGCTAAGAAAATTTAACATCCTCAAAGCACATTAAAGTCAAGAAGATGGAAAAAGCAGCAAGACAGCTACAAGTTCAACAAGCAGAATAAGTATCTAAAAGATAAAGGGGAGCTTATAAAGACACAAATATTGCAGAACCCAACAAAATCCTGAAGGTATATGGCTCAACAAGAGAAAACGAGCTAAATTCATCTGTGTGTATAATATATAATGATAGCTGTTAACTCATTAAATGAGTATGACCATCAATTAGTAATTTTCCATCTATGTTTAAGAATTCAGTTTTCCTTCTCCTAGACCAGTTACCAACCAAGGCTGAAGAGTCTAGTCTTCCCTATTACTTAACCCATAACTGGTGGATACAATAGATATCAGCAATGACTGTGCTGAGTTGTTACAGTAACGACTCACACCAACAATACCAAGAATCTCAAAGCCAAGCATATGTGAGATATCCAGATTAGAACTGAAGCAGGTGTTGCATCAGTTTTTCTTTGACTAGACCAGCACTTCTGAAACTTTTTTTTCATTCATAGACATGGTGATGGGCTGTAGGATAGTTTTAACTTCAAAAGAGAAACAGGATAATCTAAAGTTATTAAGTAACAAGAACACAAACATGGAAATTGTGAAAAACTTTTCAAAGAGACCATAGAAATTTTTTAAAAAAAGAGGTTAAAAAACATTGGCAACAAAAAAAAAACAAAAAAACAAACAACTTTATGAATTTTACAAAAACAAGTTGGAGAAAAAAGGCTAATAAGTAAGAAAAATGGATTGACCAACAAGAAAATATTTGAAGAAGCTGTAGTTGTTAATGTAAACAGAGGGAAAATATATGGAATATAAAGAATATTGGTTAAAGACATGAAAGCAACCAAACTTACACTTTTAAGTAAATATCACAAAGAGAAATATCTAAGTTGGGTGAAAAAGTCTTAACGGTCATTTTTAGTGATAAATGTTGAGCTAGTGGCTTGGCCAGAGGTGGGGGGGGGGGTCATTCATGAAAATAGTCAACCAACACAACTTAGTCAACAAAAGCAGTAAGTGGAGTAATATTTTAGGCTAGTATTTTAGGCAGTAAAATTTTTGGTTTCTTCAAAGTCGATGATAGTATCAAGATAAATGGAATGAGTTATTTAAGTTCTTGGACAAGATGCTTTTTGAGTAGCACAGGTCACAACCAAGAAGGTTTAAGCTAAAGAGGATATTCAGGAAAGACAATGTTCCTTCACATCCTGCAAGAGTAACTATTGTCCTCCTTGCCAGAAAAGGTTTCAAAGACATCAAATGAATGGAACTGAAGCCTGGCTAGAAATTTGTCCCTTTATAGAAATAATCAACCAACGTATCTTAGAAAAGAAAACAAGTGGTAATGATTTGGGCTAGTATTGCCACAAATATTTCATACATCCTTCCAAAATTAATGTTGGCATCAAGGTATATGCAGAGAATTATTATAAGTTCTTGAACAAGATGATTCTTTGAGTGGTATAGCTCTTGATGTTTCTTGGTTAAGTTAAACAGGATATTTATTTAAGATAATATTCCTTTAAAATCTGCAAAGCTGACTATTGCCCACTTTACCAAAAAAGACATCAAATTAATGAAATGGTCCCTAGCTTCCCCAAATATCAATCCAATAGAAAACTCTTTGTCCATTATTAAAAGAGATCTATATGAAAAACAATCTTCAAATAAATATGGTCTCTGGCATGCAACAAGAACTGTTGAATGCTAAAGATGAATCCGTAAAAAAGTTAACAAAATAATTAGTGAAAAACTAGAGAATATTATTATAGACTGACAAGGAGTCTATGTTAATGTGCCAGAAATGATAATTTATTCAAATTTATGGGAGACTGTCTTAACCAAATATAAGTTTCTGTGGTTTCTGTCTGAATTTCTGGGATGAGGTGTTATTATTTACATGCCGATTATAGTCGCCATGTTTGTTATTATCACAAGCAACACAAAGAGTGGCAATAGTCTACATGTTTCTGCAGGATATATATTATTTATTTATTGTTTTATTTATTTACGTTGCACTTTTTTGCATAATAAAACTCAAAATCTGAATATTTTAATAAGGATTAGTATAATTATAAATTTAAACTTTAAATAGTATTGCTCATGTAAATATAGCGTATATAAGTTTAAAACGTGTTGCATAATATATATTTAATGTTTTAGTGCATAGGTGTGTGTCCATAGTGCATTCACATTTAATTGTGTGTGTGTATAGGTGTTAGTTTCCCCATTTTCTTTTTTCATAAAGGGTTGTAGTGATGTTCCTGTTTCGTCGCCTTTACTTTCCTTTTTTTTTTTTTTTTTTTTGTGTGTGTATATATATCTAAATATGTCTGGGTGCTTATGTATTATAATCTGATTGTGTTTTTGTTGTTTTGCGCGTGAGTTTAAGACCACATTCACACACTTTAGAATAAAAAATATATATACATGTATTGTCAAATGACCGGATATATTGTAGCATCTTGTCGAACGTAATTTCAATGAAGAAATAAATTGAATAAACATATATATTTTTTCTTTTCTCAATAATTTTGTAGTTTTTAAACTTAATAGTGATTAAATTTGGATTTTAAAATTGCCAGTTTTAATTTTAATATTAAATTTTATCATATAATTTTATTATTGGTTAGTATAAATTATTTTAATATTACACGTATTTTAAAAATCTGAATAGCTATTATAACATGATTTCGTTGTCAAGCTTTTGAATCTTTCTATACTTGGTTTTTGATTGGTTATTCTAGCTTTTGTAACAATGTTTCCCCCTAGTGTAGGATCGTTAATTAATCTGAAACTTTTAAAACCATTTATTTTATCTTCAACATCATCACTTGATAAGACACCGAGTGGGTTGAAACAAAATGGCTATTTTTGTAGTGATTTTATAACATATTTATGTTATAATTTTTTTATAAATAATAATTATATATATACACATACACACATCCCCTACATAGAGATAAGACTATCATCCACAAAGGTGCCACTGGATGTTTACACATATCTACCTTTCTTACTAAAGAATAAACCAAACCTACATCTACTTATTGTGACTTTTATTCTCTAAGACTTATATTTGTTATTAAATAACTCAGCAAGGTTTGATATATCATTAAAAGAAAACAATCTAACCTAATCAACCTATGTTAAGCCTTGACACATATTTCTTTCTCATTTTCTGAATATTTAAGTAATCTTGTAAAAAAAAAAAAAATATGAACCTTCCAGCAGGATTAGAGCCTGCATCCCCTAGTGAAAAATGTCATTAGATCAGATGTGCTTTGATCTCTCAGCCACGAAGAACCTCCTGCTTAGAATCCTACTGGAGGATGCATATTTTTCTAATAAGATTTCTCAGGCTGGTAGATGGAAATAAATAAATATAATGTTTAATAAATAAAAAAAAAAACAAAAAAAAAACAGAACATCTACTTAAATATGGACATCAATTAAAAATAATATTTAAGCAATAAATTAAATACATACATTTATTGATGATATTGATTTTTTTATATTCAACATTAAATAAGCCAAATATATTATTAAAAGGAACCAAAAAGATTAATTAATATAGAAGGAAAAAAAATGATACTTTGTTTTAATAAAGAGCTTGATTTGAAATTACCAGAAAGTTAATGTGATCCATTTTTTTATCCTAATGTAAATCAGACCTATGGCTACTTTTCTATTAATTCATTGTGATTTTTAGCTTCAAAAATTTATAATAAATAACTCAACAAGGTTTGATATGTTGTTAAAAGGAACCAACCTAAGCTAATTTATCATAAGAATGAATTAATGCAGAAGAAAAAAAAATGATACATGGACTGAATAAAAAGTTTGG